AATCAGTTCCGTGTGCGTCCAATTTTCGCTAACGACCTCCCAATTCCGCCGGAATAAATTTAGGCTCTCACGAGCGATAACATAATGCACCTGTGAGAGAAGTGTTATGACAAACTTCGCGAGGAGGAGCCAAGACAAGCAGTTATTATTTTGACAACCTGCATCCGTGAATACCCGGCTTTGTCGTTTATACATGAGATATTCCCGCGGAGACACGCTGAGTTTCTGGCAGCGCTTTCATCGCTAACAGATAATAGTAATTCACTTTACTCGAGTGTCGTGTTGATTCAGTCGACGCTTTTAATCTCGTAACCTGCCCATACCAACACTTCCTCGTCGCCCAGTCATAGAGGTGAACTTACTTCATCCGGTTCGCTATCTCCGAAACCGAGCGTTTCCTAATACGAGTTTTTAAAACTGCTTTCCTCGTTCTTTCTATCAGTCCGCCGAGTTCCCTGGGATGTAGAGGAGACCAGTTTGCTAGAGGGCTAAAGTTAGCTAATTGATTATTTTTCTTGCTTTCTAACAGGCTATAGAATCGAGAGCAAGTAGGGGCTTCTATATAATCATCTTTGACATGTTTGAAATCTCTGCTTGCCCGATTCTGTAGACTGAGAAACCCATTTAGTTGAATGAACAAAATTCTTGTTTGGACACGGGCAAACAAATATTTCGATCGCACTGGTTCAGAGAACTAAACCTTGGTTCTCACAACCAAAACGTTTGTTTGCCCATGTCCGAACAAGAATTTTATTAATTTAACCAAATAAGTTTCTCAGTGTGATGTGTTAGAAAATAGGAAAAATAATCTATCAGCCAACTTACCTCTTCAGCCAATTTCCTAGTTCTCTTATTTACCGCTTTTGTCTTCCCCTCATTAGAAAAGTACGGTTCAAATGTGCACGTGCTAATGTCTGAGCTCGATGAAGATTAGATTGCAAGGGCGGCGCGAAATAGTTCCGATCTCGCGAGCTTCTCCTGAGGTATGCGTTCATGGACGGGCGAACGGCGCCGCTCCGTTTAAACAGTCGCGCGGAGAGAACCACCCCCGGTGACGCGTCGCGGGGGTGTCCTTGGCCTATCGATAACGTTTATACAGTCGTCACGGCATCGCCACGCTTTTCCACGCCGCTCTGGCGATCATCGTGCGCGCAGCCGTTGTTGCGTCCAGGTGCTCGCGGCCGGTGCTGACACCAACTTGTTGCCGTGGTTGGGCGCATGCGTTCTCGTGCGGGAGCACGTGAACACGCTTGACGCATTCGTCAAGGCACCCTGCTCGAACAGTGCCGTATTTAGCGGGTGGTTGTAGATGGGCGCGAATGATCAGAAAAACAAGGAGGTTATCAAAAGGTCTGTCCTTTTTTTTCCTGAACTGCTTGTATTAGTTTGTATTAGTCCTTGTCTTCTCTTCTTTTTCTACCAAATCTTAACTATATATCTGTCTCTTTTGAAGTTCTGTAAGTGTACACTGGTTCAGCGGAAAAGGACAGACCTGCACAGAAAAAAGTATCTTGCTGGCACAGCAATTTCTCAGTTACTGTACGGATAGTAAAAAGAATTGTTTGAAATAGCAAAAAGATTGGTTAAAATTAATTACTATTTGTTGGGTACATGGACAGCAAAATAAATGGGTTATGCTAATTAAATGTTTTGCAGTCAAATTATTTTATCCTAGCAACAAATCTTTTTGCTGTCCGCATAGTGAGAAATTTGCTGTGTCAGCAAAACACTCTTTTAATTTTGAAGGATATCGTGGACCACGAGTCCAAGATAAAGGAACCTCGCAGGCGTGTCTCCTTACACGCCCCGGCGCTCCTCCGTGGATTTCTGAAACCCTAAAATTCCCGATTGGGCACTCGAAATGCTGAATATAGACCAAATCTAGTTTCGATAAATTTTAAAACAACCACGCAGAAATTTTACAAGCGCGACGATCTCCGCTTCCCCCAATTCTCTCCAAAACTCGCTTGACCCGACGCCCTTGACTCGCAGGCGCTTCATCTGCAAGTGACATGCAGAGTGACTAAAAATCTCGACTTATCTCGACTTATCTCAATCTTGACACCGCTATCTGCGGAACGTTCGGTTGCCGGCTAGACCGGTTGGACGAGCTCGTGCAGCTTGGAGTACGGGAAGCGCGTGGTGCGATCTTCTGACACAACGGAGTTGCGTGGCGTCGTGTCGCGGTCTGAAGGAGTCACGGTCAACCAGTGCCACCTACGGAGTGCGGAGATCTCCGCGAGAGCAACTTCGTGCCGCATCGGACGTGCACCTCCGCGTCCCGAGGTAGATGCGAGTCGAGGATGAACGTCGCGTCGCGTCGCATTGCATCACGTTAGGGTGTCTGTGTGTGCGCATATCCGCGTTACGTACGCGCGGATTTTCGGGCGGTGTAATCGATGCCGCCGCCGCCTCGGCACCGTCGTGGCGCGTGTGCGCGTTGACGCACGTGCATGTAGCCGACGTGTCATCGTCGGCGAGCAGCAGCAGCAGTAGCAGCAGCAGGGGTGTGGCGAGAGAGAACGGCGAGGCTTCCTTCGGTCGGGATGACGTAAACGGACGGTCGTTAGCCTATGAGAACGCGTGACGGGAGTGCGTGCGTGAATACGTTTCCGCTTCGTGCGGCCAAAGGTGTGAGATTGATCGCCGGGCGGCCGGAAGTGCTACATACCTGACTTCTTTTCAAGCGAGAGAGCGAGAGAGAGAAGAAGAGAGACAGAGCTCGTTCGATCGATCGCCGGACGAGACGTGCCGATAACACGCATTTCGGAGTTCGCCCGGCGGGCTGGAATTTTCTCAGCGCGGATTCACAAGGACGCAGGTAGAAAGGAGACGCCGTTCTTCTCCGCCGATCCTGAGGAATTAAATGCGAACTGCGCGAAGCGGACGATTGATTCGAATGCTCGCAGACTTGGCGGAGCTGCGGCTGATCCGAGCGAATTTCTCCCCGTGCGAATTGCCTGGTCTCTCGAAGGGGGCGAATTCGCGTGCGACCTGTGGGTGAAAGTTCCTCCCGTCCGATCGGCGAGTTCGGTGGAGGCGAACGCGCGGCGGAGATACTCGCTTTATAAATAATTCAGCTTCCGTCGCTCTTTTCCTGCCTCTGACATAATGTTCCCTCGGCCGCACGTGTCGCCAGGCGTGTGCATTTATAGCGTTGTGCGTAACTTTCGGGAATTCGATCTTCGGACCGATCGAGAGAAGACAGCCCGGCGGGAATGAATTTCCACGGTGAAGGGGAAAAGCGCTGCATTCGAGTAAATAATTACTTCGATATTCCTTAGCGAGCTTTCACCTGGATTAAGTAAATTTTACTTGGATCAAATAAATATTATTTGAATATATACTGAAATGAAGATTTGGCAATAAATACTAAAATTTGGTGAATATTTGCCGGCCAAGTATTTGACTACTGTATATAATATAATTTAATATACTAAATATACAATATATAGAACTATTATATAGAAGTATTATACTATATGGCATACGGAATTCAATTACTTGGTTATAATAATTAAACATTTGATTGGCAAATATTCACCAAATTTAATTCTTATTACCAAATCCTTATTTTTAGTCAAAAAGCTGAATAATGCCGTATTCAAGTAATATTTACTTAATCCAAGTAAAAATTTATTAAGGAGTATTGAAGTAATTATTTACTTGAATCTAGCATTTTTTTTCAATAGCCGCGTTCTGCTGACGCACGTCTCTTCTCGCTTAACGACGGAGATACGAGAAGATTCCGGATCCCACGTGTCCCACGGTATATCGTTCGTTTTTTACACAAAGCGTGAGTAATGCCGAATCCTTTTTTGTGCAACCGATGCTCCAGCCGGGCGCTCCAAAAGTGCGATCGTTCCATCGGCGACGGCAGATCAATAGAAAGACGTCTGTCGCGTCTAACGCGAGGGACCGACGCTGAGGATGCAACTTTGTATGTTGAGTTCGGGGCGCGGAAGGACGGCGGTAACGACGGAAACGTTAATTGCGGCGCTTTAGCGAGGCGATCATCGGATAAATGAGCGCAAACGCTTCGCGTGCAGGCCTGTCGGAAGACGAGATATAACACCGGCAGGCGAGGCTCGATTATGTGACACCCACTCTCGCGTAACCGTATTACGCAATCGTTATCTCGCAGAGCGTGCGCATCGAAGGCGTCGTGCCTGAATAAAAACATATGCCGTCGTAAATAGTGCACGTCACGTCGTACCCGAGTACAGCGGGCGTGAGTTTGGAAAATCAATATAGCCGGGTATAATTAAATCGCCCGTCATCGTGTCGTCCGCGACGTTCCGCAGACTTTTGTGTAAAAGTCCACACCGGGGAGGACAAAAAGTGCTTTGTTCAAGTAAACATTTACCGAGGAATATTGGAGTAAATATTTTACTTGGATTAAGTAAATATTATATTCTGCGTTTTTTCAATGCGCTACAATCAAGTAATATTTATCTAATCTAAGTAGAATAATTAAACTCCAAAATACTCCTTAGCAAATATTTGCTTGAGTATCACTTTTTTTTTCTTTCATAGTACTTTTTGCACGATGCGTATTTGCAGTGAAATTCTATTTATAATCTCGTTTGCCGTGCACTGGGAAAAGTTCTTGAAAATTTATTTGTGAGATATGAGGTTTATTTCACAGAAATAAGATTTATTTTTGTGAAATAAATCTTCTCTCTTTCATTCCCGCAAGTAAAATTTTTTAATATATCTTTCTGAGTGTAGGGGAATTAATTTTCTAATAATTCCCAGAAAACACATTTTCCTATTGTATATGAGATGCATTGCGAAACTCGAAAAGAAAATGTTGTAACCTTCGCATGATTGACATACACATGAATTTGTAAATCATCAAATGTTTCCTTGTGTTATGCGGTAAAGAAGGTTGTAAGTAGAATTCGAAACGAAGTATTTCGTTCCACACGCTATCGCGAATTGCTGCTTGTTTAAAGTGAGTCTAATTATCTTCCGTCTCGTTTATATCCTGGGTTCTGCTTAATTACATAGGATATCCGTTGAAACTGGATATTAGCAGACCCAGACGTTACGTTGCGCTGCACATATATGCACAGTGTTCCGCTTTTACCGCATTATCTTTCAGCGATCCTTGCAACGTCGCATCTATATTTATGATCGAAAGCCTTAACATTCGAGAAATTCAAAAATATTATTTAGTAAAATATTATTTCGTCATATACATTCGGCAAGCAAAAAGTATATTTGCACACCTCGTCTTATTTGGGACAATTTTGCTGCAATGTGCTCTTTTCTCATATAACCCCCAAACTTCCTAAAGGGACGTCCTAAAGACGTCCTCGGGACGTCTCTCGGCTGAAGTATACTGTGTAGGTTATTCAATATATTAATAAAAAAATTCACCTATTACATACAATAGACAACTTTACAAAAATATTCTTTCCTTTTGTACAAATTTATTAAAAAAAAAAACGTCAGATATATTTCCCTAAGGGTTGTATTTTAATTTCCAAAGTAGTTTATCCCTTCTGTCATTGATTACCCGAGCATAATAAGCTCGTTGACATTCTCACGGGAGACAAATCGACTTCAGTTCGTAGGGGAGCGGCCGGAATGAGCCGGTCTGCCATTCGAATGCGACGCGGTAGAGTCGGGACACCCCGTATAAGCACGCTACGAACGGACTCGTGACAGCGCCGCGAGCGCACGTGACGGTAACAACGCGGCGCGTCGTAGCGATGCGTCGGGTAAGTTTTTGTTCGCATGAAAATACGCGTCAGCGCCCGTCGTCGTGCAGTCGTCATTGTCGATGTTCCGCGAACGCGCACCCGCGATATCAGTCGGGTGATTCGCGGGAACCGAGCGAAATCGGGCGTCTGCGGTGCACAACTCGGCTGTGCATAACCTCAAAGCAGTGCGATAAGCAACCTTTTGGGTCGGAGGAGGCGGAAAAGGGACGTGCCGTCGGTTTTCCTTGCGAGCGGACACGCCGAGCAGACGTATAAGGACGTCGCTCGGTCCGCGCGCGCGACATTGTTGTGGCACGACGTGGCCGGCGATCGATGCGATTAAAGGCGGAATTATTTATCGTCGAGCTTATAGGTGATCTAACCTATAGTATCACCACCACCAGTGCAACCGCCGCCGTTCGTACGCCCATCCGATGCGACAGCGTTGCCCGGCCAGGCGAATGCGTGTGTAGAGGTGTTTTTGTGCACGCGTGTACGTACGTGCATTCCCGGCGGATTAAATATGAATCGGGAAATCGGACGTATTGCGCACGGTGACATGTGTGGCACGTGCTAGCTCGATTCGGCGACGTATATACATCAGCAGCGATCATGGAAGTCGCGACCACGAAGCTGCTGCAGTGGTTCAACGAACTCAGATCCCGCGTACACCTCTATCTGCACGCCCAGACCCGTAAGTCGTCCTCCTCCCTTTGGCGGGAGAATTGCTAATTAATTAAGACAGATCGGACGTATTAAAAGTGCTGGATAACGTATCTAATAACGTGTAACGTAAACAATGACCGTCTCTCTCTGTATGTGTGTGTTTGTGTCAAGTCGTGGGAAACTTCTTATCTCTATGGTGGTGCCGGGATAATTCGACTTTTTTTTTTTTTTGATAGTTGAGCGTATCTAACTCCTCTGTATCTTCAAAGAGATACTGTTGATTTAAAGGTCCCTCCGAGATAACACCTCCCAGCGGACGATATCTTATCGCTTGTAGTAGTATTTCACAACGCGAATTTCGTAATAGCACTGTCGATGTACTCCCGAGCGAAGGATGCTCGATATAAGCGATTTTACCTTCCTGTGAAATATGGATGCGGCTTTTTCAGCGTGCACTTGCGGTATCCGTGCTGTGTTGGTGTGTATACGCGCGAGTGTACGATAAGCCGGCTAGTTTAAAAACAGCTCTTGCATATCTGAGAGAAACTTGTTCTGTGAACTACAACATGGCTGGATACGGTTCAATAGGCCATTAGAGGCTTTATCATCTTTTTCCGCGGAAACCGCACCGCGTTATCTGGCATAGCCCATTGACGTAGCGAGTTATTTTCGCGCCGTCGTGAAAAATATAATAGTGATATATCTCGGGGAAAAATACGTTTCCCATTATCGTATGCAGAGCGGAATCGATTTATGTACGAGAAAAGACACCATTTTAAACACGAGTCTTTGCCTCGCCGCTTCCGCTGAGGGAGATTCTCACGCGGCTCTCTCCATTCATCTTGCAAAAGACTTTGAAACGAACTGAAGAATGTCAATATAACGATTTCGTCTCGCTACCAGCGATGTAATAATGTCTCCGAAGAAATATTTCTCAACGCTTCGTGCGAGACACTCTATATACACAGCAAAAAATCTCGTGTATAAACGATCCACTGAGATTTAGTGTTGCTTTAACATGAAGAATGTGTTAAAAAGTGTACAAATATAATGTTAAATTAATACATTCATTTTGTCTATTTATACTTTTTAACACATTCCTTATGTTAAAGTAACACAAAATTGTAGCGTACCGTTTTTAATATAAAACTTTTTACTGCATACAGTCGGTGTCATGTATGCTATATCACTTTCTAGATAAAAATTACACGATTTTCAAGTCTTGCATATTCTAGTAGAAATCTCATGCATTTTTTTAAGTTACTGAATAATTTATTAACTTTTTCTGTCTGGTAATTGAGAAGTAAAACTACTTAAGATCCCGATCAAGATGTGTCACTATCAAGTTCTCGTCCATTTTCTACGCAGTATTGTTACAACTAATGAGAATCTGTTAATATTAAATGGTAACTGGATAGATGTCTAAGGAAACTGCATATATTTCTACCAAGGCGTGTGCACAAAATCACAAATATAATTAGAGCCATTATAACTCTATCATTGTAATTCGAGTTATTTTGCGATTTTCAACCGTATGAATATTATTTACACGGCAGAGAATCTTATAAATGTTCGATCTAGGGAATGATACAGCATACATGACGCCGACTGTACGTCATAACAATAAGATTTCTGATTGTTGCGTCTTTATCGCGTCTCTCGCATACGATAGACGATAAAGGCGTTTGACGTACCCGACAATGAAACAGAAGCCTTTCGCACGAATCGCGCTCGATGCACCTGTCCCGGAGAATACCTACGGCTGTTATTTATCTCTCAAGTTCACCATGTCACGTATGATACTTTTATAATGATCATATAGTGATCATTCGCTACGTATACCTCTTCGCTCGTGTCGCGATGCAACTGTCGGTTCACTATTCGTGGGCGGTGATATTATACGACCGAGGAGAGACTGTAGGAAGAATATATCTGAATATCTATTATATTCCTCGGAAAATGTCATTTTCTCGGACATGAATACGCTTCTATGTCCTCTCGGAATTCTCGATAAAGTGCCGTGACCTTTTTTTACGCCAACCCTTTCGGTAATGAGCGCATATTTTTATACCTGAAGGTCCGAGAACAGTGTAAGTCCGGTCGCATTTAGCCCGTCTCATGGAAAGGCCTACCCACAGTTGCGAAACAAGTGATTCAGAAGATTGCCTGACTCTCGGTTAAGTTTGAACAGATAATGTATGTAGCGGAAGACCACTGGGTTTGTCAAAAAAAATTCGTTGAATTAACGCGACTACGAACGAACCGAACGCGTTTTCATTGAAGGTAACAGAATTTCTAATTTTTATAAATTAGATTCGATGATAAAAATCGGAAATTCTGTTTCCTTCAATCAAAAGGCTTTCGGTTCTTTCATTGTCACGTTAATTCGACCGATCTTTTTTCTCCGTGTCGACGCTTTCAATTTGCACGATATGAACAGATTGCCACTTTTCTCGTTCTGTTATAGTTGGTCCGATAAGGGCGGAAAATGGTGGCTCACAGGGTGAGGATCAACCACCTACGCAGCATGGTGATAGCGAGGAGAGGGTCATCTTTGTCAATGCTCCGCATCAACCCGCGAAATACAAAAACAATCACATCACCACTGCGAAGTACTCGTTTCTGTCATTCGTACCGTTATTCCTGTTTGAACAATTCCGTCGTTACAGCAACTGCTTCTTCCTGTTCATCGCACTTATGCAGGTAGCTTGTGACTTTCGACTGATAAGCGTAATCGAATCGATAAGCGAAATCAAATATTACGAGTGTATACACGGAGAAAAATAATTTGCCGGCACAGCAAATTTTATACCGTCGCGGCAAAATCTGTTGTAAGTTATTAATGCGGATAGCAAAACGATTTGTTAAGAATATTAATCGTCATTTGCGGAATCTATTTGAATTATCTAAATTATTTTGCTATAGAAAATGAGTAAATGTAGGAGAGCACTATTTTATTCTAACAACAACAACAAATCAACGTGTCTCCTAAGGACGAATTTACTTAGCAAAATTATGATATCTTGGCAACAAAACTGTTTCTGCTCTAATTACGAACAATTCGCTAATTTGGTTATGCCAACTAAGTTTTATTAATTATATAATAGCAGTTATGGTTTCACTACAATAGCAAAATTATATTTTTCCGTGTAACGAATATACAGTATGAACTGAAACTGTCGAATCCTTCTTTGTGCGATTTCTTCGTTCGTATTTTCCCAGCTGGTTCTCGAATTAGAAATTTTAATTCTCTTTTGCGCGCGTATCCGTTTCTTTACGCTCCAGTTTCTTCAGACCCCATCCTTGAGAACTATATTCAAGCCTGGTAGCATTAAAAACGCATTCTTTCTGATTTAAATTTAGCAAATACCAGACGTTTCCCCGACAGGACGGTACACAACATTGGTGCCACTGATTTTCATCCTCAGCGTATCCGCTTTGAAAGAGATAGTCGAGGACATTGTGCGTATGCTTAGGTTAAGAAGTTGAGAAATTGCCGTTTGCGCGTTGTCGCGCTTCCGTGCGACTAAAATCCGCCGCTCTACTTTTTAGAAGAGACACAGAGCGGACGATGAGATAAACATGAGGGAGGTGGAGGTCCTCAGGGACGGGCGCTGGCAGTGGATACAGTGGCGTGCTGTGGCCGTCGGCGATGTAGTTAAGGTTGCCATTCCGTCACGATCGTTGATGCGATAATAATCAATGCCCGGTTGACAGCACCTCTCCCCGCTAGAATCGCTTTTCTTTAATATGCATAGGTCCACAACAACACTTTCTTCCCCGCTGACTTGATCTTATTGTCGTCATCGGAGCCGCAGGGTATGTCCTTCATAGAGACCGCCAACTTGGACGGCGAGACGAACCTGAAGATCAGACAGGCCCATCCCGACACTGCCAATCTTTTGGATACCGCGGAATTAATGAACTTTCGCGCGAACATACAATGCGAGCCGCCTAACAGGCATTTGTACGAGTTCCACGGAGTCTTACGGGAGACCAATAAGCAGTAAGAGTTCATACGTGTCGCGTACGTCACGCACGCGACACGTACACATTCCATTCCACTGCATTATTTCATCCTCCTTCCACCTCCATAATGTGGATGGTGTTTCGGCATAAATACATGATTATACGGCATATTTTTATCAGTTATATTTAAACAACAAAAATATGAAAACGACTTAAACGGAAAGTGTAACTTGGAGCGAGTACGAATCACGTGGCAGCGAACGTGTTAAGTTCGTCTGTTCGAGGAAAACTTTCCGTTTGTCGCACGCTAGTACTCTCAACACACGTGATCTAAACATACACGGTTACATCATGAGCAACGTTGTTGTTTCGCAGGAGCGTAGCTTTAGGGCCCGATCAATTGTTACTTCGTGGCGCGATGCTGCGGAACACACGATGGGTGTTCGGCGTGGTCATATACACGGGCCACGACACGAAGCTCATGCAGAATAATACAGCGACGGCGCCGTTGAAGCGATCCACCCTCGATCGGCTGATCAACACGCAGATACTGATGCTCTTTTTCATACTTCTTTTACTATGCATCCTCTCCGCGATATTCAACGTAGTGTGGACGAACGCCAACAAACACGGCCTCTGGTACTTGGGTTTGAACGGTAAACCTCTCGCAACGCGTGAAAAACATTTTTTTAGACGGTAAAGAAATTGTTCGGGCAATTTGGAAGATTTTGCGGGAGTACTAATTGCTATTTTGCTGGATATATGGACAGCAAAATAAGTTGGTTATTGACCAACTAAATTTGATTGCTGTAGCAACGGCGTTTTGTTACAACGGCAATATTATTTTTCCCGTGTAACGAATTTATCTGCTGTCGCAATATTAACGAACAATTTGCTGTTCCAGCAAAACCTGTTTTCTCCGTGACGGCTTAATGATGATTTGGTGCCTTATCTTTCGCCTCTTATTGCAGAAGAAACGACAAAGAACTTCGCTTACAACCTTTTGACGTTTATTATTCTCTTCAACAATTTGATACCGATATCGCTGCAAGTGACCCTCGAGGTAGTGAGATACGTCCAGGCGACGTTTATTAATATGGACATAGAAATGTATCACGCGGAAACGGACACGCCAGCGATGGCTCGTACCAGCAATCTAAACGAGGAACTCGGAATGGTGAATTATGTGTTCACGGATAAAACCGGCACTCTCACGAGGAACGTAATGGAGTTCAAGCGATGCTCGGTCGGTGGGAAGATGTACGAGTAAGTTGACTTCGTTATGTGAATGCGTTCGTGTTTCACTGCGCATAAGGGTCAATCTCGAGTGGTACAATTATGAATGTTCTGGTTGCTCGACCATTTTTAAAAAAGCCCGCTTTTGTCAGTCATTATCCCTGTAGGTCAATAGTTCAAACTTAATACTTTTTTTTTTGCGAAAATACATATGTACTAGTACTTTATTGCAAAAAAAGCTGGATTTTTGAGATTTGACTCATATTTTTTAGGATGCTTTGAAAGTTGCTTCTTTCTAAAAAAAATCACCTATTTTAGGCTTAAATATTTCCGATTGAGCGAGTAAAAATATTGATAGTTTTGAATTATTGATATATAGGTGATAACTTGCAAAAAATTAAGTTCTTCTTAAATGATCGAGCAACCTGTGTTGCAAGTATAATCATAATTGTAACATAAGTGTAACCACTTGAGATGAATTGACCCATAATTGATCGCTCGAATGCGAGTGTTCTCCTTGACCGTGAATATATCGTAGTTTACCAATTCCCGTTATCGACGACGAGGGTGTGAGTGAGACTTGTTGCGAGTTGATCGAGGATATCATGGAAGGAAGATCGGTGCGGGACTCTCCAAATCCTATCGACAAGAAGAAAGCGGAACACGCTGCGGTGCTTCACGAATTCATGGTTATGTTGTCGGTTTGCCACACGGTTATTCCTGAGAAAGTGGATAACTCGATAATTTATCACGCCGCATCTCCCGGTAAATAAGCCCAGCCACTCGCGAATATTCACGTTTCGATCACGACGATATGCGGTTACGTTATCTCATCACACTCTCCCTTCTTTTTTCCCTTCTTTTATGACAGATGAAAGAGCGCTGGTGGACGGGGCACGTAAATTCGATTACGTGTTCGACACTCGAACGCCACATTACGTAGAAATTGTGGCTCTAGGCGAGACCCTACGGTACGAAATACTGAATGTAATAGAATTCACTTCGGCTAGAAAGAGAATGTCGGTGGTCGTGAAAACGCCCGAGGGAAAAATTAAAATTCTTTGTAAAGGGGCGGACTCTGTGATCTATGAAAGATTAACACCAACTAACCCTATAGAAGTTAGCGATCTCGACCAAGAGCACATAGATGATTTTCGTGACGCAACTTTAGAACACTTGGAAGCTTTCGCCAGCGATGGATTGCGGACGCTTTGTTTCGCTTCCGCCGAGATACCCGAGAACGTTTATCAGGTTTGCTATATTCGCAGAAACGAATTTTTTTTTCCATCGTCGCGTGTGTGCACACGTAGATAATTGACTCGGAATCTCTTCTCGATAGTGGTGGCGCGAGTCGTATCATAAAGCATTGATCAGCACGAGTAATCGCGAGAATATGTTGGAGGAGACCGCGAATCTTATTGAGACTAAACTAACGTTATTGGGGGCAACTGCAATTGAGGATCAGCTGCAAGATCAAGTAGGGAATTGTGTTTTACTGATATTCTTCTCTCGTGGCTGCTGCGTCAACGCGTGCTGAGTCACGCGATGATTTTATTTAACTTTCGCCAGGTTCCGGAAACAATACAGTCTCTCCTGCAAGCTGACATCAAAATCTGGGTATTGACGGGAGATAAGCAGGAAACCGCTATAAACATCGGTTACTCGTGCAAATTGATAACGCATGGGATGCCACTGTATATCATCAACGAATCCTCTTTAGATGTGAGTACACAATCGCGAGCTTCTCCAATCTCACGGATATATTCTGACGCGAAATAAATCTTGCAGAAAACGAGAGAAGTTATAATCCAACGCTGCCTGGACTTCGGGATCGACTTGAAATGCCAGAACGACGTAGCTCTGATCATAGACGGCAGTACCTTGGATTTTGCTCTGTCGTGCGACATCAGGATGGACTTTCTGGAATTGTGCTCGGCCTGCAAAGTAGTTATCTGCTGCAGGGTGTCGCCTATACAAAAAGCTGAGGTAATATTTCCGTTTTGCATCCGCATCTCTGCGACACGCGGGATCTGTTCGATTGGCTGTCTCACAAAGTTGCAATGTTTCCAGGTGGTCGATTTAATTACGAGCAACAAGAAAGCCGTGACACTTGCGATCGGGGATGGTGCGAACGATGTAGCCATGATTCAGAAAGCTCACATTGGCGTCGGTAAGTTTTATCGCCAACGCGATGTCAATCCCAGTCGATTATTTCTTATTACTAAAGAAAAAAAAATCATCACGATTCGCCCCGATTCTCGCAGGTATTTCAGGTGTAGAAGGTCTTCAAGCAGCTTGTGCCTCCGATTACTCCATTGCACAGTTTCGTTTTCTGAAACGACTATTATTCGTTCACGGTTCTTGGAATTATAGTAGAATGTGCAAACTAATATTATATTCGTTTTACAAGAACATCTGCCTATATGTCATTGAATTATGGTTCGCAATTTATTCCGGTTGGTCCGGACAGATTCTGTTTGAAAGATGGTCCATTGGACTTTACAATGTGGTAAGTTCCATAAATCGTTCGGTATTATGAATCTTGAAAAAAAAGAAAAAAGAAAGAAAGAAATTAACCTTTTAACGTATCCTGTTTTGCAGGTTTTCACCGCTGCGCCTCCACTAGCTATGGGTCTCTTCGATAAAGTGTGTTCAGCGGAAACTCACTTAGCTCATCCAGGGCTGTATGCGACGAAGAATAACGGCGAATCGTTCTTCAACATTAAAGTAAGTGCGCTTCTATACGAGCGATAAAAGCGAAAAGTAGAATTGGAGCTCGGCGGTGTCACGTATTTTCTCGAGAGAAGGAAGGAAACGCATGGACAGGTTCTCACTGAATTAATAAATTGGATACTTATGAATGCATTTATGTTCAAACAGGTATTTTGGATATGGATTGTCAACGCCTTGATTCATTCGTCGCTGCTTTATTGGCTGCCACTTTTGGCTCTCACGCAAGATGTGGTTTGGGCGAACGGTAGAGACGGCGGTTATCTTTTACTAGGGAACTTCGTTTATACTGTGAGTTCTACGCGTTGTGTAATCGTACGAGAGAGATTTATGAGAATTTCTATGAGAGAGAAAGGGAGACATTTATATATATCGTTTCGTTCATTAGTATGTTGTAGTAACGGTATGCGCGAAAGCAGGTCTAATAATAAACTCGTGGACATGGGTCACTCATTTAGCAACGTGGGGATCTATTATACTCTGGTTCTTATTTATTTTTATATATAGGTAAGATTTCCTCTTCATTGTACCATGTGATGTACACCCGTGTGTTGACACAAACAATAACGCACAATTTCATCGATACGTTTCTTCTCGGTTGCAGTAATTTTTGGCCCGTCTTGAACGTTGGCGCTGTGATGTTAGGCAATGACAAGATGTTATTCTCTTCGCCTGTTTTCTGGCTGGGACTTATATTAATACCACCGGCAGTATTGCTTTTGGATGTTACAGTAAAAGCGTGAGTATAACATGCTAAGCTATCGCTGATAAGCACTCGGCAGGACACGCGTATTTTACCTGTTCTCATATAAAATTACCTTTTATCAGAGTGAAGAATACAGTGTGGAAATCGGTAACGGAGGCAGCCCGGGAAAATGAAATTAGAAAGTCGGATCCCGGTGTTATATTCAACAATCAGGACTACAGAAGCTCGTAAGTACTCCCATCTATTTGCCGAGAACTAACATATAAAGGATGCTGAGGGTGTATTTAGTCGAAATAATCGGGAAGACGCTTTCTAACGTTCAGTTCGAAGGTACATTGTAAAAACCCTTGCGTTACTTAATTTGCAATTGCTGACAATTGCAAAGAAGAAGTTTACGAGAAACACGGTATCCGTTTGTCACTAACTCGTTTGGTTACACCTGAGAGGAATTTAATAGTGTGTGCCTTCTTAAAGAGGATCTTTAATACCCCGGCGTTAATGCATGAAATATTCCAGAAACCATGTTTTATTGCGTTGACTTACCAAGATCTATGCATGGCTTTCTAGATCCGGGCTCCATTATATTGTGTATACTATCTATAACAAACGTCTCAAAAAACGAACTTACGTGGGTGGTCTGATTAATCTTAGAGTACAAAATCTCTTATTTCTTGATACATCTAGGTGCATGTATGTAACCATATTGAGATCTCTGGTGATTATAGGGCGTGTGACTAACTCATTTCAACAGAATAACATCGCCGTTTGTATGCTCGCTTTACTGATAAACTCAACAGAGGGTCCCATGAGGCGAATCTGTTACTTTCGCTATTATTAATATCATTGATCTCGTAATTGAGTCGATACATATGAATTATGACAGGAGACCGAAGTTGACGGCGCGATGGTTAAGTCGATGTTGGTTCTTGCTCTGTCCGCGACGAAGACGCAATAGGATGAGAATATTTCCATTTGTAGCACTTGGCTCGTGGTTCACGCACCGTTCAGAGCATGCGTCAACCGCATCAATTCGTATCCCGTACCCTGAATAACCTGTCCGTCCATTGTAATCCCGTCCTTCACGACTGCCATAACCAGTAAGCATCTTTATTTCTACGCGATGAGTGGGTTTCGATGAGCTCGCGAGCATCGTTCTATCCTTGTTTCTCTTGGATATTAAACAAAGGCAGAACGATGCTCGCGAGCGTTAAGCGGAACCTGCCCTATATTGTGCGTGAAGTACATCAAGGCTAAGTTACACCCATGATCTGAATTAGCTTTAACGTTAAGTTGCATCAGTAATTCATTACCTCCTTTTATATACATAAGTGTATGTAAGTCAAGAAAATTCATATCTGATTTATGTTAGGGTTAACTTACTTATCGGTGCGATCGATGCCTGATGTGCTTAATCGTAATAGTGCCAATCTCACATTATTTTTTTCGAGTACAAAAATCTCTCAATTAGTCAAGACATTTATTTATTATACCAATGTTTTTACATATCCACGATAGTTTCCCGTATGTATATATGCGCTGTAAATGATACGTCCGAACAGCTGCATGGATTCCGAGATATACTTATGTTTTATTCGGGATATATATTTTATTTTATACAAACGAATATTATATTTACGTATATTTTTGATACTTAATATAACATACTAAACTTTAACATGTAATCATAATTTGTTAATTTTAATATTTATTATAGCAGCTGTCGCTCACTCTATCTTCCTGTTGTTTTATAATACACAATAAAACCTGTCGCACTTCTCTGGTGTAATTTAATTAATTGTTTGTTGTTGACATATTATAACACATTTTTGAACGAAGCTATACAGTGCGCCATAATGACTACGGGTTCTATTGTATACGTATATTCGCAAAGAAAAAAAATTAATTAATTAATTAATTCCTGTTATATTAATTTATATTAATGTGTTTTATTTCGTTCTTCCGTTATTTACTAATGTTAATCAGAATACAACACAGGTATCACATCGGGTGATATTAATCTCTATACTTGCGTCTAATACGTTGTGCGTATCTGTGTAACCTTAGGCAATATAAATCCCAATAGCGCTTGGTATTTTTCAACCTTGTATACATACGTGCACAAGAGGAATCTTTCGCTATTGAGCTAAATTAAATTTCATTGTACTCAGACCTCCACATCCATGCCAAATGGAATTTCGAATCATGGAGCATTAATGTAGAACCCCCCCCCCCCTTCTTTCTTTCTACCAAAATAATAGTGCTTGTAGATAAACTTAATGATCCATCCGTTACGTTATACTAATGTTCACCGTACACGATTTGCTGTTGGTTAATACGTTGATTTTTTCAATATGTCCTCTTACCGTGGTATCCCGTGCAGGCCTGTGCATGCCATCGCCGATCTCGCGAGGTGTAAGTACCCTCCCCCCCCTCCCTAGTAGTAATGTAATTCATAGCGCTCTTCCACTTGTGTATCTTTCGCATCTCCAAGCGAGAACACACCGCCGATTTATTAACGAGAACGCATGCCGAGCGCGTGTCTCGATGTCTCGCTGAGTTAAAGCGCACAGCACGGCGATCTTAAATGGCAATCACGCAGCTCCCTCACCTGTATTCCGTGTACAGCTCGAAGCGTGATAGTTTCCCAACGGAGAAATGAGCGTACATGCGACAAGGTGCGGTCGTGTTTCACCTCACTTCCGCTTGAATCGCGATCGTACGAACACCGCCGGCTTTTCGGCGAGCAACGCGCATGCCTTAATTAGATCTCATCAATGTATATATGTGAGCGATATATGTGAGGCACACATACACAGAGAAAAAGATCTCTTTAGATTTAATATTTCTGTTTATGACTGTTATTTGACTGAAATTCGTTTCATAGAAACAACATATACGAAATAATATTTGTTTGAGTAAAAATTATATCGTCTCATTCAAGAAAACTCGATTATTTAACAGAAGGAACGATATTATTTAAAATAATGTCTTTTAACCAAGTAAAATATTATTTGGTTACAATAAATATGTGAAAATAAAACAAATAATTTCTTTCTAAGAAAATGATCTTTCGTTTTAAACAAATTATTTATTTGAGATAAAGATACATATTCGTTGAAAAGTCTAACAATCGTACTTGTTAATCGAAACATTAGTTTCTTCGCAGCATGCCAATGATAAAATTTGTTTGGATGTGATGAAATTTATTAAATCCGAGGATATCTTTTTCTCGGTGTATATGTATGTACATATACATATCGATTTTTCCCGTTTGCGAGTAAATTGACAGGCCTTGTATCTGCATGTACGATTATCACTTCGTCCCACTACTTTTGATTTGATTCCCGCACGGTGATGCACACTGCACTACTCACTACCACACGTCCGTTGTACACCGTCGTAAACTCAATGAAAGAGAATTACATTTACGGAGCTCATTAAACTCGGAAAATGCGTCGGTCGAGAGCGAGATTATATGTGTGTATGCGTGAATGTATATATGAGTTTGTATGTGTGTGTGTGTGTGCGTGCGTGCGTGCGTGAGTGCGTGTACAGAACAACGATTAGAAAGTTAAAGGGAAAGAGAGAAAATTTATAGTTCGTCGAAAGCCATACTGAGAGAGGCGTTGATATGGACGATGGGGAGTTCTTTGGTCAGCCGAGAATCTCTAAATCATTCCTGAATGTGCCCGGCTTTGCAGATTGACGGAAACGGCGAGGCTGCTGAAAAACGTTAAAAGTGTTTTCTCCAGGCGCTCGAACGCCGCCTCCAGAGTCAATGTCGAGGTGGAGCTATCACGTAAGTTGTCCTTACCACAGAATCACGCCGGGGAAATCACGAAATTCTTCCTGTACTTTGCGCGACGCCCGGGCGAATCCTCCTGTGAACACGTCGTCTCTCTCTCTTTCTCTCTCTTTCTCGAGAGCCGTACATTATCCTAACGCGCGAACCCGACGATATACCGCGGACTTTTTTCTCTCTCACTAGGTAAACTTCACCACGATGTATTCTATTGTATTTTTCTCATATTTATATATTATTCCGCACTCTCTCTGGCACGCGCGCTTCATTTCTCACGGCTTCTCGTTTCTCGTCCGTCCATCCGTACGTCCGTCCGTTCGTTTTATCGTCCGTCCGTCCGTGAGCTTTATTTTATCGACGAGTGAAGTCTCTATAAATAGAAATAGTTATTTCTCGCACGTGCCGAGGTGTCTTCGATAGATTATCAGCCGCACTTTTTTCGCACCTCTCTCTCTGCACCGTTATTCCATTATAATTTCAAGTTATGTTCCTTTTCGCAATCGATGCGTTACTCAGCGCCAGGTGTACCAGAAGCTGCGCGCCCGCTCGATCCGCTTTCTTTCTTTTTCTCTTTCTCTTTTTCTATCTCTCGGTATTTCCCCGCGATCGAACGGAAGCGCGACGTTTCTGGAACGCCGTATGTGTACATATATATATATATATATGTATATATCTCGCTATACTTTTTTAATCAGTAGAATTATACTCAAGATTAGATATCTCGTTCCTGATTTTCTCTTGAATGCTATAAATAGCGCTTCATCGGATCTCGACGAGTAGCGCTTTTTTTACGTCTCGCGACACTTTCGAGATTTCTCACGCGACTGCCACACACAGAAACAAACATATGTCTAGCGATGGACTGACACTCGGAAATGTACGAAGAAAAAAAGCAGGGAAAAAGTTCAGAAACTCGAGATTGTCCGATCATCATCCATCATTAGGCATGACGACGCGAAACTAACGGCACTCCGACCTTTTCTTCTCGCACGCTCCTCGAACTAACGAAACCTTCTCACGACAGAGCTTAATGATTTGCGACCTTTGTTATTGCGCATACTGCGCGATGCAGATGGTTTCGCGTTCTCGCAAGAGGAGGGCGGCTCGGTGACCCAGACAGACGTGATCCGGGCGTACGACACAAATCTTCCGAAACCCGGCGGCATGTGATTTAAACCGGGCAGTCGTCGTGCGGCGAGATGATGCCGGCTGCTTTCTCAAGCGGTCTGAAGCAGCAGCAGCAGCGGAGGGCTTCGCGATTCGACGCTTCTACTCTACGTCTTTACTCGACTGACGCGGCTGACAGGGATCGTCGGTCGGATCGATCAACCTCCGACATGGAATTGGCTCGATGATGGGCTCGAAGACACCCCCGAGAAGCTTCGGAAGCGAGACCCTCGGTTAGTCGCGCGCGTCCGCGCTGAAATAGAAACTAAACTTACTTACGGCCTTTACTTCGAATCCGATGTAATAAATAGGCGGCTCCGCTACTGCTTGGAGAAAAACCGGGATGCGTTGGATACTTACGATACCGGCGGTGATTTTGCTCGACATTCTCTCCACTACCGGAGCCGCATCGTCCGGACGAGCGCGCGTAACGAAGCTCGCGTACGGCTGATCGAGGGTCGTCGAGTAGCGTTAACGTTCAAACGAACAATTCCTCTCGAACTTACTGCGATCAATTTGTAGAAGAGAGCTCCGATATTAGCACGAATAATTATTTTGATACTCCGTGAAATTTTATTCTAATACTTGTAATGCGTAGTGACCTCGTTAAAGTTGTCGAATAGAGAGCGACGTATATTTCGCGCGCGGGGACTCGGCTAAGCGGCGACGCATTCCGACGCGACTGCATTTGGGTGAGCATTTTGTGTTAGTGTCAAAGTGGATGCGCAGAGAGAGAGAGAGAGAGAGAGAGAGAGAGAGAGAGAGAGAGTCCTATTATGCATAAACCGATAAACCGCTTACATACATCTATTTCCTCGTAGAGCGCGCGCACGCTCATTTCTAATTGAGAAAGTCGCGCGAACCCGCGCAAGCTCTAACTCGCGATCTTGAATGTTAATAATATACATATATATTTGTTCTGTGAATGTATAAAAGAGGAAGAGATTCGTCGTGCGAGATAATCATCCAGGGATTCTCGAGCTGGTCTTCCCTGGAATTGAGTACCTCTCTCTATATTATATATAATATACGATACAAATATATACAACATACATCTAAATTTGTACATTTACAAAATTGAGAAGGAAAAAAAAGAAGCTTCTGCGATCACTCGACACGATCGATGGAGGATTACGTTCGATTTCGTGCCAGAAAAAGACTGTTCCCCTTGTTCTATATATACTGTATATATTACGTTACTCTTCTAATTTTTGTTAACGGTACAACGTATACTTCATTACTGTATATACACGGAAACTGCGTTGTTATCTAGTCAGAATCTGATGCCGACCTTTCAGTTCGAGATTCACTCTTCCGCCCATCATAATACACTTTTTTAAGTTTACGACTGATGAATTTAATAAAGAGAAAAAAAAATATATATATACATATAATATGTAAAGTAACAATTGTATACACTATGTTCGGAATAAAACAGTGATAAAGAAGCCGCCTTGAACCTTCCTCTTTCCTCAGCGAGGCGAGGAAATGCAGCAAAACAAAGTGACAGGAAAATGAATACGCATCAGTTAACGTAAATAAAGCGCAATATCTAATCATATCCTTTTATTAAAGCGCTGTAGCAATAACAATCGTACAAAGCATATGTAGAGATACGACACTTCGCGTGTTCTAAGTAAAAATATAGAAATTATTTGCACGAATATATGTGTATATAATATTGGACGGCTAAGAATCATTGATTCGCGCGAGGAGAGGATCAAGTTAGACAAACAATCGGTAACGTCCAGTGTTTTAACGATACTTCGTCACATTAGATCGCGTCCGTGTACTTGCGATTCACAACAACCGAGTCGTGTATTCGATTCCCCTCGAGATTCAGCGAGAAATTAAGACGCTACGTTTCATTCAAGTTGCCGTTTGGGGGTTCCAACTTGAAACTAATGAAGAAGTTCTCGCGGTCTTCCCTGTAACGCGCCTTCAGGAGAAACTCATGCGCGTACGAGTGCAGCGGAAAGTTGTAAGTTTGCGCGGATCTCTGACAGTCGATCAACCAAATCGACACGTCGAGAATCCGTTTCCTCGTTGAATCCGCACTCTTCGTCGATCTTCCCTCTTTCTCTCTATGCGCCTTCGACGCGACGATGCACCAACGGTGGAAATACTTGCGCTCTAAGTATCGTTGCCTAAGTGCCCGAGCGTTGTTCTCGGTCTTGTTGACGATGTCCTTGCGCGTCGTGAACTGGATCCTCGCTAACGTTGCCGTGAGGAAACGTCTGGCTAGGCATTGCTTGAGTCCCGTTGGATTCTCTTTATCTCTCGAGGGAAGATCAGCGGCATTATTATTGTCAACGGACAAAGGCGAATCGCAGGCGATTCTCACAGTTGACCGTTTCCCCGTAAGTGACGCGAAGTTCCCTTTGACTTCTCTTAAACTTTGATTTATTTCCAGAACTTTGGCCAGAAAGTGCCCAACGTACGGCATGGAAGGCGGCCTGCGCTCCGCTGCGGCCCAAGCTCTCTGATATTTTAAACAACGCGGACTCTTGTATATCTTGGAAAGCTTTTCCATTGATTCGTATCTGAAATACGAATGTCTAAGACAGCGTGTTCATCAGGGATAGAAATTGAAGAATATTATCAGAGATGTATGCAACATACATTTTTTTTTATGTAGCACAAAAGAAGATATTTACAAGAAGAACTCGCAGAAAAGTACCATTATTATAAAAAATGAATTATTCAACTGTAAACAAGGAGATATATATATAAATTAATATACATTAAATATACAAGTTGTATTTAATAATTAATTTTTATAATTCCGTAAACGGTGCTTTTTCGTGAATCCTTCTTTATTATTAATACAATCCTCTTTCATTATTATTTTTTCCTCTTAATTTATTATTAAATGTTTCATATAATGATTATTAAAATACTAAAATTATAGAAAATTACGTCAAAGACGCACGTTAACGAGCCGATACCTGCTGGCGTGACGAGTCCGCAAATAGGCCCAGCTTCTCCGGAGTCTGTGAATCGGCGGAGCCTGAAGACCGGCCAAGATGGACCTGCACGACTGAAAGTTGCCCAGCACGAAGCACTTTTCGGCGGCATTAATGAACCTCGCCATGATCCTGGTCCTCATGTCGAGCTTCTTGATCGCGAGGATCTCGCTGACGGTCAGACAGGCGATTCTGTGGCTGAAGGCGATCCACGCGCCCAGATTCGGCGCGTTGTGAGACGATCTCTGGTAGGTCAGGACTTCGATCTCGGTCGCGGGGATCCGCGCGAAGAGATCGCGATCGATCATCGTCAGTTGCGTCGCCAATGTGCCGCTGTCCAGGTCCCATACAGTGATGCGGAAGTTCATCCTCAGCAGCTTCCGCAATTGCGTCGTGCACCTGTCGATGTTCTCCCTCGTGCCTTTGCCGCGTTTGCGCGCACCATTGATGGACAACACGCGTTCCAAGAGACCGCTCGACTTTCCCATCACTATCGTGGTCTCAGAATTACCGGCTTCGCTCTGACCTCCTCGTCTGCCGAAGAACCTCCTCCTCGTCCGCTTCTCTTTCCCGCGACGGAAATCCTGGAGGGACGTCAAGTGCTTCCTCAGCTCTCTGTCGCGCAATCGTCGCACATAAGAAACTACCCACTGGGACGGCTGAGTTAGATTAAACTTAATTTCTCGGAAGGTAGAACTTCCTGCTGAAGTTAACGCAGGTGGTGACGCGGGAAACGAGGAATCACGTCTTCGTACGAACACGCGCAGGCGACGGGAAACGAGATTTCTCGAACACCTGAATGGTGCTTTTCGTGGATCTTTCTTTATTATTAATATTCATGCGCAAAATTTTCGCAAAAACTTTACCCGCCGTCCAATGCACAGTGGTCTAAGATCGATATTTCCTCGCAATTCGTGGAAATTACTCCAAAACTCGTTTTTTCAAGTTTCACCCCAAATTTCATATAAATGCAGTTTTATGATTCTTTCAGACACCTGATGCTTGAGGGGAAAAAAATATTATGCCGTATGAAAATGAGAAAAGCGAGAAACGTTTCGGCATCCAGCTGGATCGGAATGCGGCCAGGATCGATATAACGAGAAATATCGTCAGATATTCCGCATCACCTGTAGACAGCCGCCGCAGCTTGTGGTCTGTACCAGTACTCGGGTGTCCAGAACAACGTCACTCGTCCTCTGCCAACGGCGCCGGTCGTTAAAGCGGCGCAGGAGACGCTGGCGGTTAAGTGACGACGCGAGAAAGGCAGTCTCAGTTCCGGATCCGAGGGATGCTTGCGAATGTTGACCGCGCTCGACGATCGCAAAGTCTGCACGGAATCGCGCTCGCCGGGTTGCACGGACCACGGCCCGAGAGCGTGAAGGAAGTGCGCCGCCGAAGCGAAGGCGTATCTCCGCGGATGCCTCCGGTTCTTGGACGATTCGCAGCCACCCTCCCACACCGTCACACCGCTCTCGACCAACTCGGGAGAATCAGTGATGTTGCGCTCGTCGACCTTGGAGATCTCGACGTGATCGCCGCGATAAGGCCCGAGTATCAGTCCGGAGTGGCATTTCTCCGGCACACCGAGGCCGAAACGCGACACTTTCGACGTCAAGGGTCCTTTCCGACGCTGCTGCTGCGCATTTCTTCCGTACTTGCCTTCCGTGTGCTCTCTGAAATCCTCCTCGGGCGGCGAACTCGGATGCCCTGGACGGTTTGAAATGTTTCTATTTGTATTCATAATTAAGTACGAATTGCACTCGTTTCGCGAAATCCCTCTTTGTTTTATTATTTTACTTTATAACTTCTGATTTTCCATAATTCGTGATTCTTTTGATTCTGCGTCAAATTTGTAATCGTAAGATTTGTAAATTATTTGTACTTATTTTATAATTTCCGAATCGGCACTTTTTTGGTGATATTTTTTAAATATTTTCCGAAAAAAATTGGCGTTTCGTGCGAATCCAACTGATCTTACTGTGACACCGGCAGTGCTTCTCGATGCCGACGGTGTCGTCCAGTTCGCAGACGTTGCAAGGTGAGCTTTTGCAGCTCGCGATGTGCTCGCAACGACGCGCCTTGTGACTCCTCACGAAGAGAACGTTGCAGAGCCCGTTGGCGCGTTGCGATCTCGCCCGAGTGCCGAACTTCTGACACGGCCAACTTCGGCAGGATTTCTCGCAGATGACGCGATGCGACGTGTACTCCTTCAGCTCGTACTTGAGGTCTTCCAGACTAGCTCCGGCGAATCTTATCGGGACAGGTGTGTAATGACCGTTCACTAATTCGTTGTAAGCCGGCCCGAGGTACAAGTCTTTCTCCGTCCAAGTGGGTGTAACGTAATCGCCGGCACCTCCGTAGCGTGTCCATATCCTGCACGGGGGAAAAAATTAGCATCCATTCAATATATGGGAATATTGATCTTAATTTGATACTAATTCTTTTCCGTGTGAACTGGTCTTCAAATACACGGTGTCTCGTTAAAGGAATCGATTAGAGAGATGTTCATTTTCAACGCGAATCGACGGATCATCAGACGGATTATCGTGTTATCAGTTAGAAATTTGAACGACGCGGAAATCAGTTCGCGACCGATGAATCCGCACCTGAATATCGGCCTCGTGCGTCTCGCGTCGCAGTTATCCCCGACTTCGATCTCCGACGACAATAGATACAACGCGCTGCTGCTCGACGAGCTAGCCGCCGTCGTCTCGGATAACGAACTACCGTTCACCTTGCGCGCTAACAATCGTTGCACCTGTTCGCACCAGATCTTCCAGTGGAGTCTGCGCTTCTCACCACCGAGCTCGTAATAATTAGCGCGACCGTTGACGAATCTGCATTCGGATGGAATGTGATGCTCATCATTCTGATCACAAGGTGTGATCCATCCCGAAAAGATCGATGAAACGATTTAGAGCGAGTTTGATCATCTGCACTATGTCGAATTAGTGCAGGTTAAAGACCGCTGCATATAAAGTATTCAAATATAATAGTTGCGTTCAGCAGGAAAAGTAGCTTAGTAAACGCTTTGTGCCAGCAGCCCTGCAACTGTTGTAAGATTTCCCGCTGAATAACACTGGTTGTTTTATGCTTCTCCAACATGTTTACTACACGATCACTATTTTTTCTAGCATACTTTTAATATGCCGGACTGCTGAATCATGTTGGAAAAATATAAATCGCTAAGTTCGACAGAAGATCTGAAAACATTTGCACGGCAGCTGGCAGCGCAGCAGAAAGCTTCGTCTACCGAAGGAATATACCTTGCCTTTAGAGTCCTGCGACGTCTCCTCCCGAACACGCTCAACTGGACGCACTCTAGAGGATACAAGGATACAAGCTCGAAACTCTCGATACTCGCGTCGATGCCAGGCGGGCAGAAGAAGCCGGGGTTAGTCTGGAGAACGTCAGCGGCGACGATCAGCCTGGTCGGCGTGAGACCTAAGGCGACCTGACGCAACCCACGTCCGTTCCTCGTGGTCTCCGCGAACGGCGACTCCGCCAGGATCGTCTCGGACAACTCGCAGTACTCCGACAGCAGGAGCTTGCGTATCCTGTTATTCTGCGAACGATCGTCACGCCGAGTGTCGCGACCGGGCAACCTCGTCGTCTCACATGACGCGTTCATAGATGAATGTCCTCGCGCGACGAAGAGGAGGACGACGATATTGCGATGCACGGATCATCTATGAGCTTCTGTTTGCACGACCGAGAAATTTCCGAAGCGTTCCAAGATCGTCCGTTTGGGTTAAACGCAAAACTTAACCGCGTTGGATTAAGATCTCCACGATGGAAACGTCAAAGGAAGAAATCGCGATTTCTGTCCGCCGACAATTTCTCGCGAAATGCTTCATAAGGGGTGACGGATAAGTCGGAAGGACTTTTATTTTTAAATACGGTTTAACGAAGGTAGGCTTTTATTTTCCAGCGGTAAGATTGAATAGTTATCAAATAATAATAAAATTTCTTGAGTCGAAATATTGCTTCCGCATTCACTCTGTAATTCCGTCGAACTCGAGGACGCAATAAAAAATGTCCAATATTATATTATATAGATTATTGTTTCTTGATATCTACGAACGAATATTTCGAAAGATTAGTGGATAAATGGGCGAGTAAATCAATAAGCTTTCTTTTTTCATAATCTCTTCATTATTATTTTTATTGGTGTTAGTAATTTCGATAAGATTTAGAGCTTCAAACGAGGTGAGATAGCGCTGTGATTGTAGAATTGAACGTCACCCGCTGCTACATTCAGCGTGTGATCCGTCCTGAAGTCGGCTCCTAATCGACACAATAATCGATCGCTCAATGGCGTCATGCGGAAAGTTCAAGTCAGTCGAAAACGCGGCGTTAATTTATATTCGCGCGTTAACCGACGATGGTCGACTCTGTTACGAGATAATCGGATGTGAAATAATTCTTGTACAAGCCTGCTTCTTCTAGCCTCAACGTACAGAAAACGGCTGTAAGCAACTATTTGTCGCAGCAAGGTAGGATACATAATCTTATATCCGAAGAATGTGAAATCTAACCTTCGACTCGGAATTTGATAAGATCAAATTACAAACCATCGACAATAGAAACGAATTGATCAATCATCGTCCGTCCTCGATTACAATCTCCGAAAGTTTTTGATCCTCATGGATTTCATAGATTAAGACATGGATTTCATAGGTTAATTTTACGTGACTCGTCGCCGAGGGCCACCGATATTGTCCTATCGCAAATGTAATCTTATTTATCGAATAACATGTATCCCATAATAATGATTAAGGTACTGCATGATTATGTTTGATCTTAGAGTCTATTATTTTGTTCCTTATAACTGAATTGGCTGCATTAATTCGAGAAATTCATCCACACTGAAGCGTGAGAATCTTCTACGTACGTTTTATACGTTTCGATGTGTATATACATTTTTTGAACTAGTGTAGCCAATTCAGTTATAAAAGAACAGGTGAAAAATATCAGACCTGAACAGAAAATTTAGCACCGGCGGGCCTGCGCGGCACGGAAAGTGTTGGTTATGTTAATTTAGGAAATTGTGAAAGACACTTTGAAGACCAAGTGTTACGTATCGTCGTTTTTATTTAGAAATTCAACGTGTCGTCGAATTTCCTTCTGTTAAGGTTCGTACATAGCCGCGATCGCGCAGTAGATTACATTTAAAGACAGGGACCACGTGGTAAATACTGGTCTCGTAATACCTTGTCTCGGTTAATAAGAATTAGCTCCTTCGCTTCTTACTCGAAGTGTATATAATACGATAATAAATAAGATATAAAAAACACGTACGTGTGTGTAAAAGAGAGGACCTCGCCAATAGTGGAAGCGTGCCTTCCTTCACTTTTCAATAATCAAGTCGAAACAGTTGGCGGAACGTGCAAAAATGTACAAAATTTACGAAGGTACGAGGATCCGTTTTTCCTACGTCTTTTCGACCGAAACGCACATTGCACTCTTATCGACTACCATTCTCCGGATTCACTTTGATGGTGACTTTGTTGTTGAGGGCGGACGCGAGTTTCTCTACGCTGCCCTGAGAATGTTTATTCGGCTCTGAATTCGTTGTATCGTTGCTGGACGTTACTGCGTTTTCGGGAATAGTCTTCACGGGCGACTGGTTTTCCTGAAACGCAAAAATGTGTACATTCCTCCCCGTATGTTTTCTCCCTTTATTAAAAACAGAAAATAATTATATAAAGTAAACGGATATCAGGGTTCCATGTGGAAATTCTCCAAGAAGAATTTAATTTTTTCGCTTTTCTCTCTCTTTCTCACGTCAAGTGTCGCTTACCCCTTCAGTCTTTCTTCTGAGGTTCGACCTCTGCAGGGTCGCCGCGAGCTCGTTCTGCAGCCTGGAGACGACCGGGCCGTTCGAGGACGCGTCCTCGGTGCCGTTCTTGTCGCGCGTCTGTTGCGACAAGAATTCTAATCGAGACGGCTGTTTGGTCTCGCCCTCGTACGCGCCTATCCTGATGGCCACCTTGCCGCCGACGGTCGATTTCGCCGGCTGGACGCCGTTGATCGGCGCGACCGACGAGGGCGAAGTCTTGGCGAGCTCCGCGACCGGACTGGTTGCGGCGTCCTTGCCGTTGGACATCGCGGCGGGCTTGCTTCCTCCTACGATGCCGCTGTGACGCGGGCTTCCGTTCGCGGGCGGATTCGACACCGGGAAGTAGGTCGGCGGTGGCTTCGGCACCGTACTGGGCGTCTCCTTCAATTTGAAGGACTCGATGCTCTGCATCTCCACCAGATCGTCGTTTACACGATTCTTAGAAGGAAGCGGAAGAGGAGGCGCCGGCGGCGGTATCGGGGCACCGGTCGATGTCGTCGCCGACGTCGTCGTCGTCATCATCGTTGTTGTCGACGAGGTCCCGTTGAGCATCCTCTTCTCTTGCTCCTGAAAATGCAGCGGTACGTGATATCAGTTGATACGCTAATTAAACGAGATATTTATTAAGCTCAAATATACTGAGCCGTCTTATGAAACAATGACGTTCTCAATCGGCGCAAACAGAGATAAGATTAGAAATTGAGACGACTAATTTTTTTTTCTTCAAGTTCTTAAATATTCCGTTTGGTATACAGAGGAATAGATTTCTTTGGATTTAGTAAAATTTCTTTAATTGAAGCAAATTTGTCTTTTAGAATGGAGCAAACGAACGAATGTTTGATTCAACAAACAGAATTGTTTGGCTTCTCAAACAGTAAATATATATATCTTTTTCTCTTTACATTAAATATTTCATTTATATTTTCATCCAAACATTACAATAATTGTTAGAAGTAACACGTTATATGTTGGAAAAATATTAGCAGTCCAACACATTAACCACTCGGCCACCTCGTCACATAGAAAAAATATTAAAGGACTTCTTTGTGTTTTTCAGTGGAACAATATTTAATATGTGATGAAATAAATTTTTCTTTTATCGAAACCAAACATTATTTCTTCTAAATAATACTGCTTTTTCTATCCAACTAGACGGTTTATTCTAGCGAAACAATAATATTTTCATTCAAAATAATATTTGATATTAAATTATGTTTATATTGAACAAACCCAAGTCAAACCAATATTAAATACAAGAAACTTTCTTCTCTGTATATATTACGTGTATTACATCTAATTCTTTGGAAGAGCATTGTACGATTTTTAAGTGTGTTTTTTTGATGAACCGATACGGAAGTGTCAGTCGATCGTACGATAAACGCGTGGATGAATTGCCTTCGGCCTCCCGAATTCCGAAATGAAATTGTGGCTGAGTGCTAAATAGTTTATGCGCAATTTACTAACGTTGTAAGGCGTGATCGTGACAAGCAGTTGTTTCCTCATCGTCACGTCGCCTGCATTATTCGTCTTTAAATGTCGCTTATCCATGCTCGAGTGTCGCAAATTATATGCAAAACTAGCCGCGCGTCATGTATCCAACACTTTTCAAAATTCGCGAATTAATTATCTATTCCACTTAGCGGTGGTCACTTTTACACCCGGCGGACAGACGGACAGTTATGCATTATTCTCCGTTACAGCTGATTATTTCAACAGTTGCGCGAAATATACGGCCAACTATGAGAACAGCTTCGGTTAGTCACTTATTCACTTGTATTATTTACTTGGTCACTAATATTACATTCTTCCTGTGCCTTCCGCAACGATGGAAGTATTTTCGAAGTTACAATTGCGAATTCACTTCCTGCGAGGCGCGTAGCTGTCAGTAGGTCGAAAGAATAATCTCTCTCTCTCTCTAACGGCGCGTTTACGCCTCTTTTAACGAGTTTTCGCTACAGCGAGGCGCGAACGTCCTCCACGTGTCCTTATTTTCGGCTAATTACAATTGCAGGATCGCGCGACCTCGCGTTTCGCGGTGATGCGCCGGCCGCCTTGAAGCCGACACGACTCGTCGTCGGGCAACTGAAGGAAACACGCGCAAGAACGTCGCGTTACGTCGCCGGCGCTCTTATGTAACACCCCCCCTCCCCCCCTATTATTTTGCACGTCCACCGCAATTCAGCAGGAAAACTGCCGAAGCGAAGAAAAAATGAAAAAGAAGGAGGAAAACGCGACGACGAGGACGATGTTGCTCGCGTCGCGGATTGGCCGGAGGCACGCCGTCGTCGTCTACGCGGCACGACGAAATCGCGACTGCTATTACCGTCGGCCGTCCGCTGGTAGTTAAATCCGCGAACGCGCTCGATAACGGATGATTAATGGACGATAAGGCGGCGAGCCGCCGACAAATCGAGACCGCTAATCAAGCCTCTCGCTTGTGTAATCAGTTGAGTCGTCACCTGATCGGCGAAAATCGGCGGGCAGTGATTTATCGGCGATAAGCGATCTCTCGAAATAATAATATCTAGACTTAGATGTTGTCCGTGTGTATGCGTTACTACACATACACACGATGACGATGACTCTACAATAGTAGAGTTATCGTGTGGCGGCGGGTCTATAAACGCACGATCGCCGCTATTATTCTCGACGATTTCTCCCGGAGACAATCAGATCGGTTTTAGCCGAGCTGGTTTGCACTCTTCGCGCCTTTAGAGTGGAGCAGGTATGTAACCTGGCGAAGGGAGAAGGAACGAGGTTCCAGTAAGCGGCGTAAATTCAACGAAAACGAGCCGGCCCGTTTCGATCACTCGGAATATTCGCGGGTGAATCGCCGCGAACCTCCTGATTCGCGCTTCATATTCTTGCCGATCGAGATGTTCGAATATATACACGCAGCGCGCAGAACGAGATACATATGTATTCCAAGCGGCACTCGCGCTCTGACGGACGATCGTTAATTAATTTGTAAGCGTGTTCCTTCGACTCCACCGGCTGGCGCAAATATCGCTCGGCCGCTCGCACGCGGTAATACAAGAACTGAAACAAAACGCCGGAATGTACGTGACTTTAAGGTGCAAACCGCTCGCTATCTCTCGTCGTTTTAATAATACCAACGTAACGTCGCGACTAGTATGCGTGTCTACACAGGACACATACGGGCGCACGTGTCGGCAACACACGCGTTATACACACGTACCACTGCCGCGCGTAGCCAGCGCGCCACACCGGCGATGACTATTCTGGGGTTCTTCATAATTTCGTGCTCTTATCTGTTTGCACCGGCGGATCCTTGCTTATACGGTTGCGTAATTAAGAGCACGCGCGCGCGTTGCTCGAGCGCCTGTTAGCTATGCTCCGAAACCCTCTTCGAGGAAGGAGGAGGAAAAATACACGGAGGAAAATATCATTTACTTTTCTTCTTTTTTCTCCGACAATGAGTGTTTTCTCGATAACGGTCTTCGGATATTCCCATCGCGAAATTTAGCAAAGCTCATCATCACGCACTCGAAAGAATTTATTGCCCTTCCAAGAACAGGTTGTGAACTTGATCGAAGAAAAATTTAACTCGATTAATTTGAATAATCAAGCCGAAATTCGTTTTAATTTAATATTTTCGATTGAAATACTACATTTACTTAAGATTCAGAATATTTTTTGAATTAATCCGATGCTTAGGAAGATTTATCACTGACGCTATAGTAACAATTATCCGAAAAATTGCTCTTCTAACTATAATTCTTTCGGTTCTGTGATGATTACAGTTACAAATATCAAATATTTTTTTTCTCAACGTAGCTCGAGTCCTTTATATCTTTGTTAACGTTTTGTTGAGGATAAAATTAACACGATGCAGAAGCGGAGGTCGTAATTTTGGAAAATTCCGCACGAGCCGTGCTTTCACGCAATCACCGGATCGCCGAGTTAATTATCGTTCGTTAATTACATTCATTTCTCGCTCGTCATCCTGATTAATATCACGCATACGTGATGTGCGATTTCGCGTTACTTCACTTTACCGGGATTTCTTGCTTTATTCTTTGTGATTCGTAATGAAATCTTTATTATCTCGATTGGCCGAGATGTAATTTCTCGGTCTACTATGTTTCAGCTGAATTTATTAGCGCCTCGAGTGCTGATTCCTCGCCGACGGTACGGCAACAAATGCATCGACGCGTATAGCGCCGAGGCACCGCGGTCGCAGTTGTACCGTGCAATATGCGTTACGTCACTAATCAGTCTCAAAGATATGCTTATCACTGAACGGCACACCAGGCATCAGGTAGACTATTGTTATCGCGTGAAAGTTAAAACATCATGCATTTCGAATTGCGCGTGACGAAGCCGGCAAATGAGCTGTCGCGAGTTCTTCGCTTTCCTGCAAGTTCTGATAGAATTTTGCGAAATATTTTTTGCTCGCGTTATCGCGCGTTTCGCAATAGATTAATCCCGTGCACAATGCTTTTAAAATATACAACTTAATAGCCGAGGTTATCGTTTCTTACCTTCTCGGAAACTTGGTCCACGGACTGTGCCTTTTGCTGAGCGGAATTGAACATCTTTTGGTGCGCACGTTTAAACTCCTCCATCAGCTGCGGGGAAAAGTGTTGCTTTAAATTCGCAATAAATGAGAGAGGCTTTTTTTCGACGCAAAATGATAATATAAAATATACAAATCAAAAAGGTTTGAATTTAAAAAATCTTATTATATGTAATTATTATTACATTTTGCGTTCCATGTGAATAATACGCAAGTGACATTTATTAATGATGAAGAATTAGTTATAAAGAGGTAACAATATAATCGACTGACCTTATCATGCGTGACTTTTTGCTCCTGTGACCTTAGAGTTTCAGGATTCTGAGGCTTGCGATTGTCCGGGGTTTTTTCCTTTAGCGCTTCCGCTTTAGCGGCATTGTTCATTCTCTGCGGAGGGGAAGAAGGTAATACGTAACGTTAATGAATGAGCAAGATAAAATATAGTCACGATCACGAGATGCTTGAAAACATCGAGCGAGAGCAATTACGAACGGATTACAAGCCGTCATTTGTTCTCGATTCCCGTGTAATTTGTCGAGATAAGTACTTTTTACGAAGTGCGCGGAACTACAGTTACGAGAAATTTATTTTCGATGTTGAGACAAAATATGACCCTCCCCACTTGTTGATGAATGACGAGAGAGATTAAATCCTTTTTTTCGCAACTCATTATATCTCGATACGGGTTGGAGTATTCTCTTCAACTCGTCGATAATACTCGTAACTTTTCTATCGCAATAGACGTGAGGAAAAACTAGGATAAAAGATACCGTGGATAAACGGTCTAATCGCAGATATCACGGTCAACGAGAATGGAGAGATCTGCGGGAAATCACGAGAACACGTTCCACGGATAACGAAGAAAAGAAAAATGGCAAATATCGCGATCTCGATATAATTGATAACGCGCGTGCGTTGCGATAGAAACGCGTCGTTCGAATTTGATCCTCAGTCTCAGACATCATTCAGGCTTTATCTGTTATCTTTCGATGACCGGGATTTCGAGCTGACTTTTGCAAACCCTCGACCGTTCGTTCCCCTCTATTAAGTTACAACCTCCTAAATGACGATGAATTTCGCTCCCGAATCCGCAAGATTCACTCGCGATCTCGCGAGGTCGTCTCGGAAGAAGACCCGAGAAACATCGACCTCCGTCTCGTCCAACGACCGGGACCTGTACGATGTACCTGTTGCGCTCGCCTCTGCAACTCCTGTGTGATGGCAGTGCTCAGGTCGGTGCTGGCGATCGGCGAGGTCCTGGCGGCGCAGCTACGCGCCGTCGCGAATGCGGCCGTTGAAGTCTCCGTTTTGCTGGCGACGCTGCTGGAACCGCCGGTGGCCGATCCGTAAGAAACCGTGGACGCGGGCTCGCAGGACGACGTCGACAGCGACGACGATGTCGACGCGGAGTCCTTGCTGCAGGACGACTCGAGGCTCGATTCGGTCTCGGTAGAGCCAGTGCTGCCCATCGACATGGTGCTGCCCATTTGCATGCCCATAGCGTTCATCGGTTTCGTCTCTGCAACGATGTCTGCGTGATATGCAGAATGATATTTGTATAATGTAATGATACAAAACGTTGAAGGCTCCGCGACGGAACATCAGGCATAGACAACATTATTAATCTTTCAACGTGGTACTTAAAGAGAAACTAAAATCATTGGTCAACTGTGGAGATTAAGCATTGAAAGGGTGTTTTTTAAATGATTAACGTTTAGTTTCATATATTTGAATTATTTCGCTATAACAGCTCTACATTGGCTCTTGATGGACTTTTACATTGTGTTCTTTTTTCCATTATTAATTTAATTAGCATTATCATTAATGATTTAATTATCACCGTCATATATAATGGAATTATTTCATGACAATCTTGAGAATATTACGAGATGCATTTTAAGTGAAGAAATATCTATTCGCGAAGAAATCACGTGATAGGGACTTTGGCCTGACTCGAAAACTATTGGACGGATCGTTAGCTAAGAACTACTTCCTTCAACGCGACGTGCGTTCGCAGCGTTGGCTCACGTTCGCAAATACCGCATCCAGTTGTTATTCTAATGACGCCGCGAGAGAAAAGTCGTCAAACCTGCTGGCCATTTGTAAGGAAGCGGCGGAGGCGGTGCAGGTGGACAAACTGACTGATGCACCTCCACGGTCGTTATCGTCTTCCTTTCGGCCTCGCTCTGTCTTTGCATGAGTTGCAGGTCTGCCAATCGATTGCCGACCGCCTGGCCGTTCTCCTGGACGCAGAATCATTCGCCGGGCGCATTAATACTAATCAGGTTTCGTTTCATTCGGCCGGTCTGTCTGATCCCGTTCAACCGGGCGAATGTCTCTCAAGGATGAGAAACGACTCGAAAATCGGATCTTACGAAGCTTCTTACTTTGGAGCCGTGATACATGGGCAAGTCGTCCGCGGGCCCGTCGTAAATCACGTCCTGCTGCCGCACGTTATCTCGCCGATAAGCCAAGCGCCGATTAGCCTCGTCCCGCGGATTCGCGTCGAAATCGTGCACCTCGTAGTCGATTCTAGGCGCCACGGGATCGTAAAGCGGCTCGTTGTCGATGTCATCCTCGTAATTGCCGCGCGGGTTGAAATGATACTGGCCGCCCGGTACAGGCCGGTGATTCTGGTTCGAGCTCTGATTAACACGAATTACGGTCGTGTTATTCGGTTTTCGCGTCCATTCCGGCGCCTAGAAAACGGTCACGTCAAGTCGGGGTCAACTTTCGATGCCCAGTCCGCATCTCTGCTTCGATATTATTTACGTCGCGTTTTTCGTGCCGGAAATGAATCGCAATTCGCAGACAGATTGCGCGCATGTACGATGGAAAATATATAATTTGATTAATATTCAATGCAGGATTACGGATACACCAAAATTAAAAACACGCGATTTACGATACGTCGCTTTCGAAGAGTCTCATACGATTTTTAAAATAATTACCCTCGGCACACAATTTGAAAGCGAAAATTGTAATGTTTCTTCCGAAAGGCAGAAAAGACACACGGAGAAATATAATTTGCTCGGCACGGCACGACAAATTTTATGCCGCGACAAAATCCATATTGAGAGAGAAGTGCTTAAAAATTTATTTGTGGAATATAAGGCTCATTTCACATAGAAATAAGGTTAATTTCCGTGAAGTAAACTTTATATCCCACAAATAAATTTTTAAGTATTTGTTTCTCTTAGTGTATCAATTATTATGTGAACAGCAAAACGATCTGTTTAAGAATACCAATCACCATGCGCCGGATTATCTTGCTGAATTTACGGATTATTTTTCTGTGAGGACAAATTAGTGAGTAGAGGAAAACATTATTTTATTCTAACAGCTAACGTGTCCTAAGAACAAATTATAGTTTTTGCCTTTACGAATAATTTGTTAACTTGTCAACTAATTAACTAATCGTTGCTGTCGCAACGAATATGCAGTGGCAATGGTAATTTCGCAGCGAAATTATTTCCCTCCGTGCATGACATACGGCCGAGAGATGTCTTTCTTTCTCAAGTTTGTTCTATATAACGCAACTGCGCGCCGGAAGATGCTTCATATTGATTCTTTACCTGCTCCACGTGCGCCCATTCCGAGGAGGAGCTGCAGCTGCTGGTAGACAGCGCGAGGGGACAGCATATTCTGCAAGGTATCCCGGAAATCAAGATCAAATTTATATATATATATATATATGTATGTATGTATGTATACGTGTCCGCGCGGCCAATTACTCAAGCGAGTTCGTCGTGCCGATTTCTAAAGAACGGAATTCGCGCGGGACGGTGATTTTTGCGGAGCGGCCGAGCGGGGAACGAGGAACAGGATGAATGTTTACGTGGCGACAAGGAATTCGCAGTGGCCGACTCTGGCGATCCCTATCGCGAAATGTCCTATTAATGGACCGACTTTCTCCCGGTGTAAATTCATTGATGGCACCCGATAACGGCTCGCGACCGGCCAGCGATGTGTGTATAGATGTATGCATACGTACACATGTATATATACATGCACGCGTCTACGCGTACACGGATAACGCCACGGATAACAGTCGCACGGTCGCTCTTTGCGCGTCGCGAAACCGATTTGCGCGATGATAAACGACGCCGGTACGATCGGTAATTGCAATCGGTAACGCGGCTTCGATTATCGTGACGTTCGCAGCCCGTCATTCGTGTCGCTCGTCCGCTCCCATCCTGAGAAATCCGCGATCGACACACACGCGTTTATTAATGTCTCGCGCGATTTCGAATTAATGCGATCGGAAGCGCGCCGATCGCGCATTTCCTTCTTATCTTTGCTTCTTCTTGTCTCGCTTTGTTTTTTTCCCGCTCCTCCTTCGTCCCCCCCTTCGCCGTTGCGAGTCGTTTAGATTGTGACGCCTGACCTGCCGTTCCTGTTGCAGGCGTCGTCGCGTGGATACCGCTGATGCTGCATCCTGCCGTCCTGGTGCTGCGGCGAGGACGACGGATTGTTCGGCTGGGGCGGCGGGCTCGCGGCCACCACGCTCGACGTCTCGGAGTCGTAACCGCTGGAGCCGCGCGTCCACAGCGGTTCGGGACAGTCGTAAAGGTGATTGGGCGTAGGTCGTTGCACCACGAGGTCGAGGATCGCCGAACTGCGCATCACCTCGATGGCCCTCTCGAACGGCAGATCGGTGAGTCGTTGCCCGTTGCACCAGATTATTACGTCGCCGGCCTTCAGACCGGCCGCCCGCGCCGGCCCGCCCTCCCTCGTACCCTGGACGTCCATATTCGTTAATGAACAAAATTATTCCAGTCTCGGATGTCGGATTTCGATTTTGTAAATGAATAAACCGTGTTGCTTCGATCGGTTGTTCACTTTCGGTTCATTCTTAGTTAACATTTAAATTTAGGTACACAATTTAGTTAAAAACTGCCAAGGAGTATTGAAATAATTATTTATTAACGCTTTTTTCTACGTACATTAAAAAAAAAATATATATATATATATGAGGACTACGTGTGAAAATTCGGATGTATATTGAGAAATGCTGAAAAATGTATTCGCGGGATGTAAGGTTTATTTCGCGCGGAAATAATAAATCTTGAAAACATAAATGACTTAATTGAAACAAACCTTACTTCTGTGGAATAAATCCTATTTTTCTTTCTATGAAATAAATTTTATATCAAGTAAAGATTTCAAGCACTTTCTCCTCAATACAGAATTGAATTTTCCCCAGAAATGGTACATTCAAAGGAAGAATCAGACGTAAGAGATAAATTCTAGTCGTGGCAGCTGAAACAAGGACAGCCAACGTCGTTGCTACCGCAGCGAAATTTATTAGCCGCTGTGGCAGCGACATCGGCTATTAGAGGTGAAATGCATTTGCTGCAACTATATTGTTTACTCTGTAGCGCCTTAATTCGGCTAATAAATTTAGCTGCGGTAACAGCGACATTAACTGCTCCTTCTACGGCTAATTCTTTCTCTGAGTGCGCGCAGCGCGATCTCTTGAATTGTACTCGAAGTGGAGAGAAGTGTTTCAAACGTGGGATGAGAAATCTCGAGAAGGCAACTCGCTCTTTTCTATACATAAGCATTATCGATTGAAAGATGCTGTCAACCTGAACAGTAAGACCAGGCACGATGCCTCGGCAAACGCCGCAGCCCAGGCGACCCTTCTCGCCGACGAGAATCCGAATTCTGACTTCTGCGCTCGGGACGCCGCCTAAACCAGTTTCGTTGTACTGCAGCTGCTGTTGCTGTTGCTGCACCATGTGCCAGGTAACCGGATCGTTCGGGTTGCTTTGCGAATCATAAAGGATTTTTGTAAAACGAGAGAGGATGTGCATCGCGCGAATGCGAGCGCGCGGGAAGAGGATGCGTGTACGCGCGGAGAGAAAGATAGAGAGAGAGAGAGTGAGAGAGGGAGGGAGGGAGGGGTCCGCGCAAGGTTTTAATTAACTTTCGATACTTACTCCTTCACGGGTATCATCCCTACGCCTGCAAATACAAATCGAAAGCCATAAGTTCTCGCTATCAGCAACGAGATAGAGATTACTGCGCACGCGCGCGCGCGCGCGCGCGCACTACTGTTATTAATTATTTTGATTTTCTTCCCGAGACGCGCGCGCGCGAGGTGTTATCTCGCGCGCACAGAACTCGCGCGGAGAACTGATTTACGATTCCGTGGTTCTCCGCGGCTCGAGATAATTAAGATACTGAGACGAGATAGTTACTTCGAATTTTGAGCACCAAGACTTGCTGATTCTTCGCCAGCAGCGCGACTTCCTGGTGCACAGCGTCCTCCACCGGATAGCCGTTCACCCGTAAGATCTGATCGCCTACCTGAAAGCGACATGAGTCGAGTGCCGAGGCTGTTAGCCGGGAAATGTGATTATCGCGCGTCGTTCGCTGGCGGTCGCGTGCGAGAAAGAGAGAGAGAGAGAAAGAAAATAAATTAGGCAGCGATCTCTCAAAAGTGCGTACCCTCAGCCCGTTCCGATGCGCTTCGCCGCCCGGCTGGACGTCGCTGACGTAAAACCCGGCTGCGTATTCCCGTCCACCCCGCAACGAGAAGCCGAAGCCGGCGTTACCGCGACGCCTCAGCCGTACGTTCCTGGTCACACCGATGACGGCCATCCTGCCGCCTCCTGCCGGGTTCCCAGGACCTCCACCGGTCGATGATCCCGTGCCAGCACTTGACGCGCTGGAGGAGCCACCGGACCTGTCGGCATCGTAAAAAGTATGCATATAAATAACGCCATTTCGTAGGGCGCAGCAGCCCGCCGCCGGGAAAATGATCGCCGACGTGAATTCGATTGCTCTTCGAAGGGCTCCAGCTGAAGTTCGGAGCGGCCGCGAATTTTCAAGCCGCTCCGAACCGCGATTGACCTCGCAGAGTAGCCGCTATTTTTTTCTTTCGATCGCTGAACATTTTTAATGTTTTTGAACGATCTTGGTGGAAATGGAGCATCGTGGGTATCCAGCCGCGGGAGTTAGTGAATTTGTGTCTAACGTCGCTATTCGTCAGTAATGGAGCGCTCATTTTTCCCAGCTCTGGCTAGGTAATGGCTAGATAAATAAGTTAGCTGATTGTTAAACAAAAGAAGTGACCAGGTGAATATCATAATTAGTTGCTTTCAACAATATCTTATAGTAATAGCAACATGTATTTAAGGTTGTTATCACTAACACTATAGTACATATATTTACTAGAAAAATGGTTCTTCTATTTTTGTGGTTAAAAAAAAAGCGGATATGGTCTGCCGAAAGTGATTATAATTTTCCATCAGTGTGCAATCGTTGGGCAACGGCTAGATCACAAAAACAATTCTACATTTTATAATCAGCGAATAATCAGCCGGCAACGAACGAACGTAACGAGCTAGAAAATTCAATCTAGCCCGCCACGAATTAGCTATTAGCTTTCATCTATTAGCTTTCGACTCAGGCCGACTAGACACACACTTCTACCCGGGGATTAAATACGCCTTATTTGAGGAATCCTCCGGATGAAATCCTCATTATCTTCGTCGGAAGAATGTACGCGAGTGTAAGGAAATTTCAGATATTCTCCCACATTCGTTCCGCTACTCGTCTCGTACGTTTTCTCGGCGCGGCTATATCCGTCGTCCGACGAGAAGCGTCGCTGTAACACACCGCCGTGGTCTTATTTCACCTTCGCGAGTAATTGTCTCGCAAAGATCCTCATTTTCCCCCCTCACTTCGACGGACGAATGAGCGAACGACTCGGTACCTTTGTTCGGTACCCGCCGACCTTTTTCCACCTCGCTGTGAAATTAATGACCACACCTGGCGCACTGCGCGCCGCCGGCACGAGGAAGGAAGGCGGGCGAGCTGAGGAAGCGGAGGTGGTGCGCCGAGGAACGTCAGGCGAAGGTGGAGGAGTCGCACGAGGAATTCCACGGGCGCGAGAGACGAAAAAGAGAAGTAAAGGGCGAAAGAGAGGGGAGGAGGGGGGGGAGAGAAGGAGAGCCAGTCGTACGACGTAGAAGTCGAACCGAGATGAAGCTGAACAGGGACACGTCGCTAATGACACCGCGAATCCATCTTCCGTCGGACATTGAAAAGATTATGCGCGCGACGTCGGGACCCGCTGTAGGACACGCGGACGACACCGGCTAAATGACAGTCATTAGCGGGAGCGCGAGTCTGATCTAGAGTGACTCGCCGGAGCCGCCGGAGGGGCTTCCTTCCCTTCCTCAGCAAGCCCGACCTCTTCGCCTCTTCCGTTCACCGTCTCGTCCTCGAGAAGGAACCGCTCCGAAGGAGGAGCACTCGCGGACAGAGGTCTCTCGGCAAAGGTCTCTCGTAGAGTCCCTCAAGTAAAAGGCTCCGGCTCATCTCCGACTTCTTACTACTGATTGGTCTAATTTCTTATTGGATCCAAGGTGGCGGAACTGAGGACTGTCAATAAATGGGATCTACTTGTGACTAAATGTTACTCCAAGATGAGAGATAAATAAGAATAAAATGAAGGAAAAATTAATTTTTGGAAAATTAAAATATTTTTATAAATATGTTTGGTTACAATGATCAATTCCACCTGCCGTGGAATATTATTTTACATGTAAAAGTGTTAAGATGATGTTATCGTTAAGTGAGATTATTTTGAGATATTTCATATCATGCTGAAAAATGTCAGGATAAAAAATAAAATATCTCGAAAAATATTCACTTTTCGATGATTTTACTTTAATATTTTTATACACAGAATGAATACAGGGGTCGATTTATGTTAAAAAAAAAAACCATATCATTCCATTGAAAAAAAAAAACAAAAGTGACCTCAGAATTTTTAAGCTGCTCAAAAAGAAAGAAACGTTACAACCGTAAGGCGACCGCTTCTGTACCGTGTAATTTCTATTCGATAACTTTTTCTTTTACTCTCACAGTTTCGAAGATATTCAAGATAGTAATAGTTATTGCCTCACCTTGTATAAATTCTGAGGAAAATGTCCTTGAACTCGATACATCGTGGACATATCTCTATACAGATAAAGACGTTCTAGTAACAAACCAAACGCCATTTTTGATCGAAAAGCCGGAGATGAGCCAGACTCTTACTGGAGGGATGTACCTTAGTCTCTCTCTCTCTCTCTCTCTCGGCCGGCGGTTCCTCGCTCCTCGGCGGAATATCAATTTTCGGAGTGGGCGTAGGCGAGCGTGAGAACCCTGGGGGAAATCGGAGCCGCGGATCGGTCGTGGGATAATAACTATTTTATTCCGTCTGCCACCGGCATCAGCATCCCCGCGGAATGCGCACATACCGCAGGTTACATAACGCCATAACCGTGGGATAACGACTATCTTAACGCGCCTAATCGCTGCTTCTTTTTATGTAATGGGACCTGCGGCACATTCGAGCGCGACGACGACGGCAGAAGCGGTAGTCACGCGCAAAGAGTCAAACTGCCACCTCGTGGCCGGAAGATCTCTTTATGCAACCGCGGGAGAGGACGATGAGAGAAAGAGAGAAAGATGCACGTGCGACGTTCCTCACATTGTTCCACGACAACGTGCGCGCGCCATAATACCGGGGAAGACGTACCGTTACCGTCGTCGATATCACCGTTTGACGATCGAGACCTCGAAAGTGTTACGACTATCGCAAACGTCTCTCGCACGTCTCGCTCGCCCCGTCCGCACACCGTCACATGTTCCGCCTTCGGCCGCGACCCGCCCGTGTCACGATCGCGACTGTCGTGCTCATACACACCGTATTAATTCCGGAACTCGATATTCCGCTCACGAATTATGCTAATTCCCGCCTCGCGGGAGAGAGCACAACCGTGCCGGCCGTGCGTGAAGCCGGAGTTAACGGAAGAAACTCCGAACTGGCGGATTACGATGTCGCTGCGCGAGAGGATTGTCCACGCGCGCGGCCGTTTCTCAAAATTAATTGTATTTCGGTATACACAGAGAAAGGTTTCCTTAGAATCAATATTTCCATTTGTTTGACTAAAATTTGTTTCATAGAAAGCAACATATACTTACATACCAAATATTATTTGTTTGAGTAAAAATTGTATCGTCTCATTCCAGAAAACTCTATTATTCGAAATAATATCTTTCAACCATCGATAAAAAATTATTTGGTTAAAATAAATATGTGAGATGAAACAAATCATTTCTTTGAGAAAATTATCTTTCGTTTCAAGTAAATTTTTTTATTTAAGATAAAGATACATATTCGTTGAAAAGTCTAACGATCGTACTTGTTAAATCGAAACATTAGTTCCTTTGGAGCATGCCAATTGATGAGATTTGTTTGGATGCGATCAAATTGATTAAATTGGGAGAAATCATTTTCTCAGTGTAAAGATTGAGGGCCGAAGAATTATTTTTAACGAAGAACTTGTAGAATTATCGAACGATATTACATCTCTCGACGATGCTATCTCGTTCTCGAACGTCACCTGCGAGACTCTGCGGCAGCGCGCCGCGTTTTGAATTCGGATCGTACGTCTGTCGATGCGATGATAACAGGACATTTCTGAATCGGCGATTATAAATTCCATTCGCGTCTTGTGCTAGTCATAATGAAGGGACGGGTTTCGGTTTCAAGTTGGGGACAGCTCAAAAGGAGAGCGCGTGGTCGTGAAGAATGCGTTTTCTGCTCGCTGTTGAAGTACGTTCTGCAATAACGATGCATTCAGTTATTTTCGAGCTATTATCACACCATTGTCGTTACACCACTGCTCCATTTTGCGTATTTTTCGCATGAATTCGCGAAACGACGATATTTGTTATTATCGTTGTTTGCTCATGCATTATGGTAATAGCGCGGGGCACGAAGGACGCGAGGAACGTCCAGCTCGCCGACAATGCGGAGAAAGTTGATGCAAGGCTGCAAGGAACACGGAAAGGCACGCCCTGACGAGTGTTCTCGTCCTTTCGACTCTCGTAACTGCTCTTCTGGCTCGCTCTTCGTGTCTCGCGTGGTTTCGCCCCAACGGAAGATGAGAGATCTGTAATATACGTCGGTTCTCCAGAAATCGCGAGCGAAAACAAGAGAAATCTTACTCTTGCTGGTTTCTTCATTTCCCATAACACATCTGATGACTTCGAATTTGAAGACTACAGGCTACTTTTTGCATTTTAATCAAATATATCCACCTTGCATGTTCTACTGGAACATATTTGAGAGTAAAAAAAAATTACCGCGTTTTACGAGATTTAAAAGAGTTAAGAATAAGTTTTAGAAATCTTCCAAATCTCCAAGTACAATTAATCCGGTAATGTTTAAACAGTCGTTACATTGTATTTTCACGGAGGCACTTTAAACGATTTTAACCTCAGGAATGATCGAGTGAAACACGCGTTGCTGCGAGGCTCTCGACGTCTAACTTTAGAACTGGTAGCAAGCAGTCGAACCAGAAGTTGACAAATTGTTACCAGGCGCGTTTAACGCACCGCCGGCGATTCGCCTTCTGGTCTCCACGTAGCCACCAGCCCATGCTTAATCTCTCCACAGGCAAATTATTGCCATATTGTATAAGCCGCGGTAGTTACGCGTGAAAATAGCCTGTGACCAACCGTGCCGATTTTTACGTCACGAAATTGGCAATTAAACAGCGCACGAGTATCGCACGATGATCTCAGAGGAGCTAAGCTTGTCAAAAGCATTCCACCCGACCAGTTTCGTGAATGAAAAGACCAGTTTCGGAACGGGTCGGGCGACTTAAAGACTTAAAATGTAAC